TGTATTGGTACACTGTACTGTCATACACTTTGAGCTCTGGTATAAATAAAGTTTTTTCTAAATCACAACATATTTCTTTAATTCAGATTGCCATAAATGGAGCAAACCTCCTAGCTTATGTTGTAGTTGAGTAGCAACTGGAAAGTGGGATGAGTCCGGGGTTTTAAATATTTAGGATAGTAAAGCAGAGAATGGTTTTCCTGTCTGAGCTTACCTCATTTTATGATTCTGTACGTAATACAGTTACTTTCATTATGTTTTTTCTGTATTCTTCATCTTTGTTAAAGTGGAACTTCAGGAAAAATAGTGAAGCTTCTGAAAAGCAAGTAGAAGAGTCTGCTGGACGCCTACACTCGACACCAACGTCAGCTATGGTTGTTTAGGAGTGAATCTGTGCCGTGTGCTCCAGCATACTATGCCCATGCCAAAGACTTGGAATTTCTTCAATTTTGGCTTTTGGGGAGGTAAGATATAATCTGTATGTATGTCATTCAAAAAATGAAAACAGCAGCTTCTAAAAAAGATTTTCTATTTTCAGTATGGAAAGCTACTGGGAGATTCCTACTGAAAATGAGGATTTGGATCCAGATGCAAGCAGTCAGCAAGCAGGCCAAGAACCTCTAGTGAGCAAAATGCCAACTCCCAAGCTCTACCTCTGGAACACACCACCTGTACATCCTTGTGTACTACCAAGACCAAACACACATGCAATGAGAAGGAGGACTTCTGATCCCTGAATTTAACCGGATGCTGGACATAATGGTCACTATGTCGGAACACATGAACACCACCAACAGGTCTCATGTGCACTTTTCAGCAAGGTGTCTGGAAGGCATTTTGGAAAAGTACCATCAGAAGTCCAGGCAAACATATTGGCAGGTACCATACAATATATTGGCACTTTTGTCCCACCAATCACCACATATAGGTCCTCAGAACTTACCTCTGCTACCTCATGGCCTCTATACAAATCTCCACAGCCCCCCCCCCCCCCCACCAATACCACATTCTTTAGACCTCCCTAATCTGTCAACACCACACATTCCGCCCCTCCATCATCTGCCAACCTGATCACATTATACCCATACCATGAATGTGGTGATGTCAATGAGCCAGCCATATCCCCACACACCTACCATCACCTGTAATTTTTTTTCTTCTCCTTTTTCTTTTTTTTTTTTTTTAGCTCTATTGTGTTAACTCTAGTTCTTCTTTTTATTGTCCCTTTTTTGGGCACTTTGCATTTTTGGAGGTGGTCTGACCTTGCTGACTTCAATCTTATGGCCATTATATCCAATATATGTTTGAATTCAGAGTAAGAACTACTCCTTGTTGTTGGATGCGTGCTTGCCCATGTGTGATCAGGACTGGAATTCATATGCCTCTATCTATGCTGGTATTATTATCATAATGAAGTATAACAAGCTTTGGCAATGCAGAGCCTGTTTTTTGCTTACATATATATATATATATATATATATATATATATATATACAGTCATGGCCGAAATTGTTGGCACCCTTGATATTTTTCCTGAAAATCAAGTATTTCACACAAAAAAGGTATTGCATTAACACATGTTTTGCTATACACATGTTTATTCCCTTTGTATGTATTGGAACAAATATAAAACAGAGGCAGAAAAGCAAATATGACATAATGTCACACAAAACCCCAAAAAATGGGCTGGACAAAAGTATTGGCACCCTTAACTTAATATTTGGTTGCACACCCTTTGGAAAACATAACTGAAATCAGTCGCTTCCTATAACCATCAATAAGCTTCTGACACCTCTCACCCGGAATTTTGGACCACTCTTCCTTTGCAAACAGCTCCAGGTCTCTCTTATTGGAAGGACACCTTTTCCCAACAGCAATTTTAAGATCTCTCCACAGGTGTTCAATGGGATTTAGATCTGGGCTCATTGCTGGCCACTTCAGAACTCTCCAGCGCTTCTTTGCCATCCATTTCTGAGTGCTTTTTGACGTATGTTTGGGGTCATTGTCCTGCTGGAAGACCCAGGATCTTGGACGCAAACCCAGCTTTCTGACACTGGGCCCTACAGTGCGACCCAAAATCCTTTGGTAATCCTCAGATTTCATGATGCCTTGCACACAGTCAAGGCACCCAGTGCCAGAGGCAGCAAAAACAACCCCAAAACATCATTGAACCTCCACCATATTTTACCGTAGGTACTGTGTTTTGTTCTTTGTAGGCCTCATTCCGTTTTCGGTAAACAGTAGAATGATGTGCTTTACCGAAAAGCTCTATCTTGGTCTCATCTGTCCACAAGACGTTTTCCCAGAAGGCTTTTGGCTTACTCAAGTACATTTTGGCAAACTGTAGTCTTGCTTTTTTATGTCTCTGTGTCAGCAGTGGGGTCCTCCTGGGTCTCCTGCCATAGCGTTTCATTTCATTTAAATGTCGACGGATAGTTCGCGCTGACACTGATGCTCCCTGAGCCTGCAGGACAGCTTGAATGTCTTTGGAACATGTTTGGGGCTGCTTATCCACCATCCGGACTATTCTGCGTTGCAATCTTTCATCAATTTTCCTCATCCGTCCACGACCAGGGAGATTAGCTACAGTGCCATGGGTTGCAAACTTCTTGATAATGTTGCGCACTGTGGACAAAGGCAAATCTAGTTCTCTGGAGATGGACTTGTAACCTTGAGATTGTTGATATTTTGCCACAATTTTGGTTCTCAGGTCCTCAGACAGTTCTCGTCTCCTCTTTCTGTTGTCCATGCTTAGTGTGGCACAGACAGACACACAATGCAAAGGTTAAGTGAACGTATATATATATATTGCAGCTTTGTTCAGTATTAAGGAATCACATTCATGTTAAATAGGAGTCAGTATACACCTGCCATCATTTAAAGTGCCTCTGATTACCCCCAAATAAAGTGCAGCTGTTCTAGTAGATCATCCTGACATTTTCTTAGTCGCATCCTACAGCAAAAGCCGTGGTCCGCAGAGAGCTTCCAAAGCATCAGAGGGATCTCATTGTTACAAGGTATCAGTCAGGAGAAGGGTACAAAAGAATTTCCAAGGCATTAGATATACCATGTAACACAGTGAAGACAGGCATTATCAAGTGCAGAAAATATGGCGCAACAGTGACATTACCAAGAACTGGTCTTTCCTCCAAAATTGTTGAAAAGACGATTAGAAAACCGGTCTAGAAGGCTGCCAAGAGGCCTACAGCAACATTAAAGGAGCTGCAGGAATATCTGGCAAGTACTGATTGTGTGGTACGTGTGACAACAATTTCTCGTATTATTTGCATGTCTGGGCTATGGGGTAGAGTGCCTAGACGGAAGCCTTTTCTTACGAAGAAAAACATCCAAGCCTGGCTAAATTTTGCAAAAACAAATCGTAAGTCTCCCAAAAGCATGTGGGAAAATGTGTTATGGTCTGATAAAACTAAGGTTGAACTTTTTGGCCATAATTCCAAAAGATATGTTTGGCACAAAAACAACACTGCACATCACCAAAAGAACACAATACCCACAGTGAAGCATGGTGGTGGCAGCATCATACTTTGGGGCTGTTTTTCTTCAGCTGGAACTGGGGCCTTAGTCAAGGTAGAGGGATTATGAACAGTTCCAAATATCAGTAAATATTGGCACAAAACCTTCAGGATTCTGCTAGAAAGCTGAACATGAAGAGGAACTCCATCTTTCAGCATGACAACGGCCCAAAGCATACATCCAAATCAACAAAAACGTGAAGAAGATTCAAGTTTTTAAATGGCCCAGCCACAGCCCAGACATGAATCCGATCAAAAATCTGTGGGGTGATCTGAAGAGGACTGTGCACAGAAGATGCCCTTGCAATCTGACAGATTTTGAGTGTTTTTGCAAGGAAGAGTGGGCAAATATTGCCAAGTCAAGATGTGCCATGCTGATAGACACATACCCAAAAAGACTGAGTGCTGGAATAAAATCAAAAAGTGCTTCAACAAAGTATTAGTTTAAGGGTGTGCATACTTATGCAACCATATAATTTTAGATTTTTCTTTTTACTTCCCTCCACCTAAAAGATTTCAGTTTGTTGTTCAACTGAGTTGTACATTTTATAGGTTAAATAGGTGTAAAAAGTTCTGAAATGATTTATCTTTGTCTCATTTTTTTACATCACATAAACCTGACATTTTAACAGGAGTGTATAGACTTTTTATATCCACTGTATATAAATACATTTATTTCTGTTTAAATTCCAAGGAAGAACTACTCCTTGTTGTTGGATGTGTGCTTGCCCATGTGTGACTGGAATTCATACTCCTGTATTCATGCTGGTACTATTTTCATAATGGTGTATAACAAGCTTTGGAAATGAGAGGCCTGTTGTTGTTTACATGCTATTATTAAAATATATACAGTATCTCACAGAAGTGAGTACACCCCTTACATTTTTGTAAATATTTTATTATATCTTTTCATGTGACATCACTGAAGAAATTACACTTTGCTACAATGTAAAGTAGTGAGTGTACAGCTTGTATAACAGTGTAAATTTGCTGTCCCCTCAAAATAACACACAGCCATTAATGTCTAAACCGCTGGCAACAAAAGTGAGTACACCCCTAACTGAAAATGTCCAAATTGAGCCCAAAGTGTCAATGTTTTGTGTGCCCACCATTATTTTCCAGCACTGCCTTAACCCTCTTGGGCATGGAGTTCACCAAAGCTTCACAGGTTGCCACTGGAGTCCTTTTCCACTCCTCCACGTCGACATCACAGAGCTGGTGGATGTTGGAGACCTTGCGCTCCTCCACCTTCCATTTGAGGATGCCCCACAGATGCTCAATAGGGTTTAGGTCTGGAGACATGCTTGGCCAGTCCGTCACCTTTACCCTCAGCTTCTTTAGCAAGGCAGTGGTCATCTTGGAGGTGTGTTTGGGGTCGTTATCATGTTGGAATACTGCCCTGCGGCCCAGTCTCCGAAGGGAGGGGATCATGCTCTGCTTCAGTATGTCACAGTACATGTTGGCATTTATGGTTCCCTCAATGAACTGTAGCTCCCCAGTGCTGGCAGCACTCATGCAGCCCCAGACCATGACACTCCCACCACCATGCTTGACAGTAGGCAAGACACACTTGTCTTTGTACTCCTCATCTGGTTGCCGCCACACACACTTGACACCATCTGAACCAAATAAGTTTATTCTTGGTCTCATCAGACCACAGGACAGGTTCCAGTAATCCATGTTCTTAGTCTGCTTTTCCTCAGCAAACTATTTGCGGGCTTGCTTGTGCATCATCTTTAGAAGAGGCTTCCTTCTGGGACGACAGACCAGTTTGATGCAGTGTGCGGCGTATGGTCTGAGCACTGACAGGCTGAGCCCCCACCCCTTCAACCCAGGGGCGTATTTGCCGCGAGGCAAACTAGGCATTTGCCCAGGGCGGCACTTTTCAGGGGGGCGGCACGGCAGCAATGCCACTCCCCCCCCTTTCTCACGGAAGGGATACTTCCGTGGGAAAGGGACAGGGGCAGGACCGCCATGGCTGAGGGACCTGCTGCAGAGGAGAGCGGAGTGGTGGGCAGATCCCTGGTGTGCGCTCGGAGCGCATGAGGGGCGGGGCCCGCTGTCAGTGTAGCGGCAAGATGAGTCCCCCCATGAAGATCCAGGATCTGCAGGAAGGCCAGAGGACGGAGGAAGCAGAAAAGGACGAGGTGAGGGGGGCGGAGCCGGCACGCTCCTTTGTAGCCGCTGCCGGAGATCGTGGGGGAGAAGGAACACAGGCACAGGAATGATGCTGACACCATTTGGAGGAGCCGCTGCTGGACAGGTAAGTGCTTGGAGGACTGGTGCTCCCCCTCAGTCCTGTCTCACTGTCCCCTGACACCCTGCCCCCCCACCTGTTCTACTTCCCTCCCCTGTCCCATTGACCCCCCATCCATCACACTGCCCCCTGCCCCCACATGTCACGCTGCCCCCCATCTATCCCTCTGCGCTCCTCTTGTCCCACTGCCCCTCACATATCCCTCTGCGCTCCTCCTGTCCATCTGCCCCTCACCTGTCCCTCTGCTCTCCTCCTGTCCCACTGCCCCCCCACCTATCCCTCTGCGCTCCTCCTGTCCCTCTGTGCTCCTTCTCCTGTCCCACTGCCCCGATCCTGTCCCATGCCCCCTGTCACGCTGCCCCCCACTATCCTTCTGCGCTCCTCCTGTCCCGCTGCCCCTCACCTGTCCCACTGCGCTACTCCTGTCCCACTGCCCCTCACCTGTCCCACTGCGCGCTCCTCCTGTCCCACTGCCCCTCACCTGTCCCACTGCGCTCCTCCTGTCCCACTGCCCCTCACCTGTCCCACTGCGCTCCTCCTGTCCTACTGCCCCTCACTGTCCCACTGCGCTCCTCCTGTCCCGCTGCCCCCCTCCTGTCCCACTGCCCCCCACCTATCCTTCTGCGCTCCTCCTGTCCCACTGCATTCCTCCTGTCCCACTGCCCCTCACATGTCCACTGCCCCCCACCTATCCTTCTGCGCTCCTCCTGTCCCACTGCCCCTCACCTGTCCCACTGCTTCTCACCTATCCTTCTGCGCTCCTCTTGTCCCACTGCCCCTCACCTGTCTTACTGCGCTCCTCCTGTCCCACTGCCGCTCACCTCACCTGTCCCACTGCGCTCCTCCTGTCCCACTGCCCCTCACCTGTCCCTTTGCACTCCTCCTGTCCTGCTGCCCCGATCCTGTCCCATGCCCCCGTCACCCTGCCCCCCACATGTCCCTCTGTGCTCCTCCTGTCCCACTGCCTCTCACCTATCCTTCTGCGCTTCTCCTGTCCTGCTGCCCCGATCCTGACCCATGCCCCCCTGTCACGCTGCTCCCTACCTGTCCCTCTCCGCTCCTCCTGTCCAGCTGCCCTGATACTGTCCCATGCCCCCTGTCACTCTGCAGCCCACCTGTTCCTCTGCACTCATCCTGTCCCACTGCCCCTCACCTATCCTTCTGCGCTTCTCCTGTCCCACTGCGCTTCTCCTGTCTCGCTGCCCCGATCCTGTCCCCATGCCCTCCATCACTGACACCAATGAGGGGGCACTTTTCCTCCCACTGACACCAATGATGGGGCACTATTCCTCCCTGACACCAATTATGGGACACTATTCCTCCCACTGATACCAATGATGGGGCACTTCCTCCCACTGACACCAAAGATGGGGCACTATTCCTCCCACTGACACCAATGATGGGGCACTTCCTCCGCCTGACACCAATGATGGGGCACGATTCCTCCCACTGACACCAATGATTGGGCACGATTCCTCCCACTGATACCAATGATGGGGCACTATTCCTCACACACTGACACTAATGATGGGGCACCATCATTGGTGTCAGTGGGAGGAATAGTGCCCCATCATTGGTGTCAGTGGGAGGAATCGTGCCCCATCATTGGTGTCAGTGGGAGGAATAGTGCCCCATCATTGGTGTCAGTGGGAGGAATCGTGCCCTATCATTGGTGTCTGTGGGATGAATAGTGCCCCATCATTGGTGTCTGTGGGATGAATAATGCCCCATCATTGGTGTCAGTGGGAGGAATATTGCCCCATCACTGGTGTCAGTGGGAGGAATAGTGCCCCATCATTAGTGCCAGAGGGCGGAATCGTACCCCATCATTGGTGTCGGTGGGAGGAATAGCGCCCCATCGGTGTCAGTGGGTGGAGCTCTTAATAGGAAGAGGGGGAGCCTAAAGAGGAAGGGGTGGAGTTTGCAGATGAAAGGGTGGGACAAATTTAGATGCGGGGGGGGGTGCCCGATTTTAGTCTTGCCTAGGGCAGCACAAAACCAAAATACACCACTGCTTCAACCTCTGCAGCAATGCTGGCAGCACTAATACATCTATTTCCCAAAGACAACCTCTGGATATGACGCTGAGCACGTGCACTCAACTTCTTTGGTCGACTATGGCGAAGCCTGTTGTGAGTGGTACCTGTCCTGTTAAACCACTGTATGGTCTTGGCCACGGTGCTGCAGCTCAGTTTCAGGGTCTTGGCAATCTTCTTTTTTTCAGATACTCAGAGAGTTCTTTGCCATGAGGTGCCATGCTGAACTTCCAGTGACTAGTATGAGAGAGTGAGAGCGATAACACCAAATTTAACACACCTGCTCCCCATTCACACCTGATACCTTGTAACACTAACGAGTCACATGATATCGGAGAGGGAAAATGGCCAATTGGGCCATGGCTAGTTGTCACATGAAAAGATATAATAAAATATTTACAAAACTGTGAGGGGTGTACTCACTTCTGTGAGATACTGTGTGTATGTATATATATATATATATATATATATATATATATATATACAAACAAATCTCTTTCAAGAATGTTTCATATATTTTTACAAAAGTACAGTTTTGTATTACTTTCGACAAGTGTATTTTGTTTTTATTTTATGCATATAAAAAAATAAGCATGTTTGTTTCTTCATGTACCAGTTCTAACAATTTTTTTAATAAAAAAACGACTTCAGTGTGATGATTATTCTTTCAACAGGAGGTATGCTATTACAGAAGTATGTGTCCATTCACTGAAAACGACTACTGAGTAAACCCAGTAATTCCTCGAAACTGTCAGAGAAAAGGGAGGTTTAGTGGACATGATAAGATAGCAACAATGACAACAATCATAAATCAAAATAGGTTGGACTAACCTTTTTATGGACATCCTAGTGTACTCAAAAAAATTATCTTCATGAGCATGTAGGTCACTGTACATGATCCAGAACTGGCCTCTCTTTTCTCGACTGGCAAATAGGGGGTGGATCTAGTATTTCACAAAGCAAATATGTTGTAACAGTGACTGCTGCCACAAAACACGCCATCTCATCATCAGTCATCTTTGCAGAGCACAATACACAAAGAACAGAAAGAACAATGAAAAACAGAAAGAAGAGATTTCACAGAGGAAGCAGATGAAAAGCACAAAAAAATAGCAACAAATGATAAAACAGATGATAATTTTTTTCTATTGGCTAATTTAAAACTCCAAAACTCAAAACCGCCTGAAAAACGCTGTATGAAAATGCGCAAAAACACACAAAAATCTCACGTCAAAAAGCACAAAAAATGCTCAATTGAGCTACATTCAAGTGTGAATCTAGCCTTATAGATAAAATGACACCTGAAAATTAGGAGAAATTTGATCAACTTCTTGCAAGAGCAATGGATGCTTCTGGCTTAGTATTGTCAATAACTGAAAATGCATGTTGGCGGGGAGATTTTAAATTATTATGAGGGAAAGGGTAGTGGTTACCTGTTCTCATGTATAACTGAAATGTTCTTACCATATACAGTCCTTGTTATTCCATTTGTAATAAAAAATAACATTTTTTAAAAACAAAGTTTACTGAATAAGATGTACTTTTATTTCAAGCATAATACTTTTTATATACACTGCATTTCATGTTCCCAGTTTAACAAAATGTCTTTCAATTTGTAAAACTACTCCACGCTGAATTTTTTTTCAATTTTTATGAAAATTTTCATTTTTTTCTGGACAAAAAAAACAGAAAAAACTTTTTTTTACCATGGCTTCAAAATGTTGAAAATTTTACATCTTTAGTCCTTAGTCCCTTCCTCTGTCTCAAAAGTGAGACTTTAGGGGTCTGTTTAGACATCTGATATCTCACCACCCTCCTCTCCCAACAGCTTTGTGAAAAAAAAAATTAAAAAACTTAAATTACAATGAATAAAAAAAATAGAATATAAAAATTGTAAAAAAAAAAACATTTCAACATTTCTAAAAAAAAATCAGACTAAAATTTCTAATCAGACAGAAAAGTCATGCCCAATATGTGGCATAATTTAGCCACACTCACTGTGTGCTGTGGGTAGGGGCCCTAGTGCATTACTTTACTCAGGGGCCTATGATGGCACTGGTAGCTGTGTCCATGAGAGGCTCCTGGTACCTTTATTGGGTCACCAGCTTTAAGTCTCCTGCCACTCTGCATGTCTCCAAGCTTGATGCCTCTCTGGACGGGCTAGCCGCATTAATGCTGCATCATAAAGATGGCTGCCACGTGGCAGCCATCTTTACACCTGGGGACCCCATGATCTCTTATTGCTTGGGTGCCCCATGAGTTTTCAGTCCTCTCCAAAATTAGTTTATAATATAGTTTTTCCATGTAGGCAACAGATATTTAATTAAAAATATCAAAGAAAATATTATTCTTAACATAAAATAGCAGAAGCATGGAAACATTTTATCTCATGCTGAAGAGGTTAAAAATAAGGATAGTGATACAATGAGAAATGAAAAAGTGACAGCAATGTTAAATGATACTCAGGAGAAAATTTTGACAACCTGGATACCATCAATCAATGATGCTCAACCTTGGGACTGGGATTGATTTGATGTTTTCTAATAGTAGAGACTAGGATTCCTCGGAAACCCCCTTGAGCTAGCTTTCCTGCTATTTTTTCTTTCATCTTTTCTTTCTCTGCTTTTTTTCTCCTCTCATTAGCTCTTTGACTAGACATTGGTTCAGCTAGGGAACACTTTATCTCATACTGTTGTAATACTTCTTTTTAGATACAAATCATTACAAGTGATCTATTTACATGTTTTACTTTATATTTCCGTACCAGAAAACTTTGTACAGAACTTTTAATTCCCTTGAATCCCCCAGTAGCAACTATTACTATATTACAGCACCATTTCCCACATTTTTAGATGCATTCTTTTTTTACACTACTGTGCAAACGTTTTAGGCAGGTTTAAAAATAAATCTGTAAATTAAGAATGCTTTCAGAAATAGAAGTGTTAATAGTTTATTTTTATCAATTAACAAAATGGAAAGTAAAAGAACAGAAGAGAAATCCAAATCAAATCAATGTTTAATGTGACCACCCTGTGCCTTCAAAACAGCATTGGTTCTTCTAAGTACAGTACACTTGTACAGTTTTTGAAGGAACTCAGTAGGTAGGTTGTTTCAAACATCTTGGAGAACTAACCTCAGATGTTCTGTGGATGTAGGTTGCCTTCATATGATGACTTGATGTTGAGATTAGGGCTCTCTGGGGGCCAAACTATCACTTCCAGGACTTCTTTATTCACTCATATGAAGGGTGTTCTGCCCTGACTTTATTTATACATTTTCATGTACCTTCCCTTATTAGCAGCATTTTCATCTTGAACTTCCAAGACTGGTAGTTCTGGTTTGTCAGATTTGCAAATGAAAGCTTTGTTGCAGCTGTGTTACATTTTTTTTTATTCTGTTGCAGTCTTCTTTTTGTTGCTGTATCTATCACTTATTTTCTGTAGTCAGCTATGACTGGGCCCATAACCTGTTAGAAATTCTGTATATAGCCCTACAGAACACACAGTGCACAGTACACATGTGCTTTACTGCCACCAGGAAACAAGACATTTATTCAGAGAAAAGACAGAGTATATCATAGATGCAGCTACAAACTTAAAAACACTGCCATCTACTGGTTGAAGAATATATTTCTACTGAATACGGCTGTGGTTGTTGCACAAATTCAAACATTTATTCCAACATTTACAAATAAAAACTGTATTCCAACATTTTTTTATAGCATTCTTACTTTACAGCATTTTTTCACACCTGCCTAAAAGATTTGCACAGCACTGATTATCTTGCATTGCCTTGCCTTTCCTGTCAGCAGACAGGTGTGTTTTACTTTTTAAAGTGTACCTAACACCCACCTCAAATGTTCAAAGGTGTCAATGAGCCTAGCAATAACTAGGATGATGCAACAGAATGAAAAACTACCGTTAAACAGGAAACCTGGAGCAGTGATCATGGAACCAGCTTAACCAGGAACAGCATGCTGCAATGTTAATCAGTGCACAAAACATTGTGCACTGCATTGAGGTGTAAATGAGCCCTATATAAAATTTATATTATAATATATTATTATAATTATATTATAATAAATATAATATAAACAACTATATTATAAAAAAAGAATTTGCTTTTTCAGTGAAAGATTTGCTCTGAATCTGGTATGTTACTTCTCTGAGATCTGTTTTGCCAGTCTGTATTTCTGCTCCCTATCCCTTGTATCCTAGTTGTGAGCGGGACCTAGCCGCCCTACACACGGAGGTACCTCTTCTCGTGTATGCACTCATTAATGCTCGGTACCAAGCAGGGCCGCGTTCATGTGAACTCAACATTAGGCGGCATGCTGTACTTAGAAGTGAGCCATTCACCTGGTGCAGCTGTATCATACTTCAGTCTCCATACCACTATGCCCCATGATACCACAACACCTTGACTCCCAGAATGTAGCATTTGGAAGGGAACGCCACTGAGCTTGTGTCCTGTTCTGTTCCACCAGTCCAGCTTTCCTATCACCTCATTCCCAGTGATAGAGTACAGGTTCCACCATGGGACAAGCGCAGACCTCCTGCATGCACGGCCTAACTTCTTAACTCCTCCTGTACCTGCGGCTAGGTCCATTAGGTCCCCGCCATGTGGGTTTGGTCCTGGTTACTGGGGCACCGACCTCTAGGGAGTAGTAAGCTAATCGATACTCTCACTATATAGGGAACCCATCCCCCCTGCCAGTACTATCCTTCCTCTGTCTGCCTGCCATCTCATTCCCATGTGTTTGTTGCCCTTAGTAACCCCTTGTGTGTGTATCAGGCCCTGTTCTTTTGGATAAGCCACATACCACCATGCACCCCTATGTAGTAATTTCAGACCAGACACAATTAAGCTGGCCATAGACAGTTTGAATCTCTGCTGGTTCACCAGGGACAGACCAAGATTCAAACCAAGTATGGATAGGCTGAATGTACCCAAGTTGATCGATTGATCAACTTAGGTATAACCTGCCTGTCTGGTTTTGCATGTGATTATTGCTAGCTGCTAGCAGTAAATACTGTAATCTCCCAGTGGGAACAGCTCCCCCTGCCCTGTGCCGCCTCCCCCCCTCCCGCCAGGAGAACACAATGGCTCCACGGGAGGGATTCCCCCATCAACACTGACAGTTAAGTGAGTGATATTCTATCCTGCAATCCATGGTTGTAGGAAAGTATCTCGCACAATTTATGGCCAGCTTTAATAAACTTTACTAAACATCTTAGCAGGACAATCCAACAACATAACGTACATACTGCATAGGTCTCCCCCTAACTTTTTAACTGCAGTCTGCCCAGATCATACCTTCTAGAAAAGCAA